AGGCGCGCTGCAGGAGTTCATGGAAAGCCTTCGACGAAGCGCGCTTTTCCGGAGCTCAGCTTTCAGCTCTCTCTCTGCAGCCCGGGCGCTGTAGCGACGTGGTCCCTGTCTTGTGGAGCCCGGCGTGGATCACGAGCAGCGGCCTTTTCACAGAGCCTGAACCTGACATCACAAAATGCGCGATTCGATTCATGGGAGAAGGGCTTGAGCTTCACGCTTCCGGAGCCCTTGGTGTTTCAGCCTTGCTTGCCAAAGGGCGCTGGCTGCGAATCTCCAGCAGGGATGCCTCTTCCTCTGAAGCCATCGCGGTCGCGGCGATGCCGACTTCCTTCGCCTTTTCTGCCCAAACATCTTGAAGCGCGAGAAGCGGCAGGAGACAAAGAAAGGCCGAGGACCCCATGGCGGCGCTGCTGCACTTCGAACTACTGGCGACCTTCTGGAAGGGTCGAAGCTGTGCACACCGTGCCTCCTAGCCACTCGGGAACTCTGAGAGAGAGAAAGAGCCCTTTCCAGAAGGACGGGCGCTTTTGGGGGGCTTCGGTACCGTATGTGCCTGGTCGGCTTCAGCCAAAATCGAAAAAAACACGGTTACATGTCGCAGTGTGCTCTGGCTCGTGTAAACCGGACTGGCTGCTTTGGGCTTTGTCGCCTGCGGCGCGAGACTGTACGAAACGCGTGGCACAAGACGTGCCGAAAATTGGACGACTGTCGGAGCATTGAGCTATGTCGGCTATGTGGCGCTCAGACGTCAATCACCTCTGCACCTGCTGGCCATCGCTTGGGATCGCGAAGCGGTCACCACTCGCAGCCGCGCAGCCGCGCACTGGAGCTTTTCTCCGCGGAGCACTGTACACTGGGGCACTCAGAGGCTACCTAAGACCCGCCTCTGCTTTGACAAACCTGCGCCCCCCCGCTTCCGCGGCTCACTTCAGCGGCTCGCCGGGCTGGAGCTCCCGCACTGTCACGTCGAACTCTTCCACCTCTTCCTCAGCAAAGCGGAGCGAGGCTGGGGCTCCCCGGGCTGGGACGAGGACGCAAGCGCAGCGGCCTAGGGGCCTAGCGTGCTTATCTCGCCGCCACGGCTCGTGCAGAGGGCTGGCCCGTTGCAGGTGGAGGGCGGCGCGGACGGGCTCCCCGTCCTGACAAATGGACAGACAGGGAGGGGTGCCAAATTACAACTCCCCGCGTCTCCTGGTTGATGAGGAGACGCAGGATCTTCAACTGACCAACTGTCGCCTCACAGAGAATCTCTGTGCAACCGCTCGAGGGTTCCACGAACCAGCCCGGAACGGCACCGTACTTCGGCCGCAACGAAGAGGCTGTGCCGGCCGTACAAGCCGTCGCAGCATCTTCGGCATCTATGTCGGCATCCCGGGCATCCACATGTTTTCTCCAGTACGCGTCTTCTTCGCTCACGCGGCGGCATCGTGCATCCCGCCAACTCTGAAGAAACTCGGCCAGAGGGTCAAAGCCGACGAGAGCCTGCGACGGTTTCCCATGCATTCACAGGTCGCAGGGTTCGTTTTTTTTACCGGCCTGCGTCTTCTCTGTCGATCCGCTCATCCAGTGGCTTGTAATGGCTTTCATGGTGCACTCGCCCATATCATAGATGAACTGGTCGTGATCGTTCTTCCTGCAAACATGTTGGCGCGTTGTTCCCTCCATCTGCATGGCAGTAGATACATCCGGGACTTGTGACTAAGGAGAAGACGTCCATACACAGTCTGGAAACACAAGAAAGCTGTTTAAAGTTGGGCTCGCGGCTTCCAAGATTCATCTATTGCCGCTGTACTGACTCTTCTCGGTTAGAGTTACACGTCGAAGCGGCTAATTTCTTGTCTCGTCGATCCTCCACGGCTCCATCACCATCTGACGTGCAGCAGCATCCCCACGGAGATAGTAAAGGCTGGCGAATGCGCTAGAGTAGCCAGTCCCGAACCTATGCCGGCTGGACTGGAATTGGACCAGAAAGCGCTCCGGCAACAACGCCAAAGGGGTGAAGCCAATGTGCAACACCGTCAGAGATCGGACGTCGGAACCCAACCCCACAGCCGCCAAAGTCTTCGAGGAGCATCCCCTGAGCGATATCTTGCGAGATTTTGCTGTATGCACATAGGAGTCCATAGGAGGCTAGAGACTGCAGGCAAGCTTGCTGCCAAGTTACAAATTGCCCAGCACTTCCTGCCAACACCGAACTTCAATGTTGACTACTCCGGCTGTGGTGACAGAACTTGCCAAGGCCTGCACGGGTCCTTCGCCGACGATCCACTTCTGCACTTCGGCGCTCAAGCCTGCAAGGACAAGGCCCAAGGAGAACAAAGCAGAGTGAGAGCTCAGAGCGAGCTTGTGACGCCGTGGCACCGAGCTGGGCTTCGATGGCCGAGGCGAGCTCGGCGCAGGTCGTCTCGTCCTCGACGCTGAGGGAGAGCGCACGCCCCGCCAAGCTCCGGACTTCGAGGCTCCGGAAGCGGTTTCCGCTTCCGCCAATCTTCGACTTCGAGTCTTCGCTCACACTCAGCCAAGCCCCCATGGCGGCTCGGCTGGACTATCTCCGTGCTCTGAACCGCGGTGCAGTGACAGGTTCGCGCGGGAAATTCACAGGTGCGACTTCTCGATCGCCTCGCCTTTGCCCAGCGCTACCCGGGAGTCTCGCAACGGGTCCAGGTCCTCCAAGGCCCGCCCCTCGGCCGCCCCTTCCGCACCGAGCGCACCCCTTCCCCTTCCCCGCAGCGGCCGGCGCCAGGAGCTTTGTATAGCGGTCGAAGTACAAGGCCTCTCCCCGAAGCGATGCTTCGGCCGCAAAAGCAAAGCTCTTGTTGCCTGCTTCACGAGAAGGGCAAACTCCCTCGGCAGCTTCAAGCCGTTGCTGTCCGCCACCCGGATCAACTGAGAGAACCAATTGCCGGGGAAATCAGTGAAGCTATTGCGAACGCATGCAAACGCCTCGAGCAACAGCTCCGTGACCTGGTCGTTGTCCAGGCCCACCTCGGCAAAAGGAAAGAGAATCTCTCCAAACCCTGCGTCCTTGCATCGCTGCGTCCGCTCGTCACGCCTCGGCAACCACGCGGCCGTCGCCTTTGCCCCGCAGCACCACCTACACAGTCAGAAAGCCAAGCCGACAAAAGCGGTCAGGTCGTGCGAGCACTCACGTGCCTCAGGCTGCAAGCCAGCGATCCTGTAGACTCATGCATGATGTTAGTGGCCATGCACTCGGTCCATGCTCAGCGAATGTCGTTGCAGCATAAAAAGAAGTTGCCGTCCTTGAGAGGACGTTTTGCACGTCGGATGCCAGGGCTGACTCGTCGACGAAGCGATCCGTGGCTCCCATTGCCTACAGTCACGCTCGATCCCAAACAGAGATCGCGAGATGCGATCTCCTAGGAAAGCAAAGACACACAACATCCACTGCATTCAGCAGATTCAGTGGAAATGAAATCACAAAACCACACGCCACACACTTATACATACAGCCGCAACCTCCTACCGATGGTCATGACTTCTGGATAGAGCCAAGCTAATTGGCCCGGGACCTGCCAATCGACTTAACGCGCCGACAATGATGTGGCTTGCCAAATTTATGAGCCAAACAGTTCCGGGTGCGGGGTGAAGCCTTTTAGGTTCCCAGTAAACTCACACTTTTCTTCGGCGCTGTCGTAGCCACATATGCGCCTACCAATAATTAGTGCCGGCGAAGACCCCAAACAGTATGGACATAAACATAGGAGAGAGACATGCCATAACACAAGGTTTGTTATGCTGTCCTGCCAACGATGCATCTAAAGCCAGTAAACTACTTTTCTTTCAGACAGTTGTCAGGCCAGTACAGGTCATGCCTATGTCATGCCTTGGGGTGCTTCCCCCATCTGAACGCAAAGAAACGAAAGTTATGCTTAAGTCATGCCTTCGAGGCTTGCCCGAAGTAAACGCATGCGAAACGGATCGAAATATGCAGCCGTTTATGCTCTAAATCGAGCGGTTCTCTGGGGATTACATGTAAAGGGCAGGAGACAACAAACCCAGGCAGCAGCGAAACCCCAGCGAACGCAAGGTTTACAGAGGACCATCCCATCACACCCATCACATGTGGCATTCCCCTTGCGTCTCCAGCCCCAAACAGGGTGACCGAGACAGTTTCAAAACCAGCCATTCCCCATCTAAGCGCTCGATTCCACAAGCACAAACTCGAGACGCACATCAGTGGCAGCACAATACACCAAAACCAGCCATTCCTCATCTAGATGCTCGATTCCACAAGTACAAATTCGAGACACACGTCAGTGGCAGCATTGACAGCACATCAAAACCAGCCATTCCTCATCTAGACACTCGATTCCACAAGCACCCACTCGAGAGTCACATCAGTGGGCAGCAGACTTTGCCGCGCCTGCGGCATTGCCCCCTCAGGCTGGGGCTGCTCACGACCCTGTCGCCCGGGCCTGGGTAGAATTCCCCCTTAGCTCGCTGCATTCCACGACACGTGTGACACTCTTTCGAGCACTTTATCAGGCTCAACCGAAAATTCTGTTGAGGAGGTCAAACTCTGCACGGTCGCCCGCCCCTTTTGTTTTTTCACTTCGTCTTCTTCAGCAGGTCAGACTTCTTGACAAATCGGCCTTTGTACTCCTTCCGCCACTCCTTATACCAGTTGCAACGGCTAGCAGGAGTCGCGAAGTCGCCTCGATGCAGGGACACGGTCCGGATGTGTTTCGACAGCAGGCTTGTTTTTCTCAAGCCAAGCGACGAACAAGGAGGCGAGTTTGCCAAACTCCTCGACGGACCCATCCACAGCCACCATGTCCTTCTTCGGAAAGAGCTCCGCGATGGCTGCTTGCACCCCCTCAGGTGTGTCCAAGTCCATCTCTGCCTCACTCTCGTCGTCCATGGCGGCTGGCACAGCCGGCTCTACAGCACGAGCCTTGCTGGTTGGCGCAACAGCGGGTGTTGCCGGAGCTGGACCAGCCGTCGCAGGAGCGGGTGTCGCAGGGGCTTGTGTCGCAGGAGCTGGCGTGTCACTGCTTCCTGGGTTTCGCTTGAAAGCGCATTCTACATAATTCCAGAAGTGCACTATCAACCAACGAGGTAACGTTGCGAGCTCGCATTCGGACACTGACACAGCGCACTGATGGGAAAAACCATGTGGCCGCAATTGAACTCAAAGTGCAGTTACAGAATCATACCAACCTGGTTGGAACCCCCATGTAAACGCAGTTTCACTGCACACATCACAAACACAGCTCAAGGAAACAACCCGACCATTCCAGATGGAAACCCCATGTAAACGCAGGTAATTGCAGAACATCTTGCAAGACCCGACGACAACAGGCATCCCAACCGGATGCGGGAACCCCCATGTAAACGCAGATTAGGCACGACTTCCGGAAACCCTTCCCCCCAGTGATTTCAAGGATTTCACAAGCACAGGCAGGACGTAAGCAAGTTCGTGTACTACAGGTTCTTTCCAAAACCGGTTTCGCCACTGGGAAAGCATTTCCGGCCTGATTTTCGGGTTTGGACTCGCGCACTCGCGCGAGTCCGAAAATAGAGCATTTCACTACTATATTTTCGGGTTTAGGGACGGCGTAGATCTGTTGAAACCAGGGCTCAATGCGTTTAGCAGGCCTTTGAAAATGCATTTGGGCTTGGTCGGAGGCTTCGGGAGCTCGATTTGGGCTCGGGGACTGGTGACAAAACACCAACAAAACTGAAGCAATTCTAAATGCGTCTTGAAAAATGCATGTTGGATTCCCGGAAACCAAATCAAGGCATTTGCAATACGATTCTCGAGTGCAGGGACGGCGTTGAGCTCCAGATTTATAAAAACAAGAGCCGAAAATGCGTTCAGCAGGCATTGGAAAACACATTTGGGCTTCGAGAGCTCAACTAAAACCTCGGGAGCAAACGAAAAATGCATGTTGGGGCCATGGAAACCAAAATACAAAATTCTCGATGCGATTTCGGGTGCAGGGACCGCATTGAGCTCTAGATTCGTTGAAAAGCATATAGCAGGCCTTGGAAAATGCAGTTCGAGAGGCTTTCGAAGTTCGATTTGGGTTCGGGGCCTGGGGCCAGGAACACCAGTAAACAGCGCTGTGCCAGCGGCCGCTGCAGCAGGGTCCAAAGGCTCCTCTAGATCCTGCCAGCGGCCGCTGCAGCAGGGTCCAAAGGCTCCTCTAGATCCCTGCATGCCTTTCCACATTGCGCCGAGCATGGGGCATCTGCGCCCTTGGCATCAGTAAGGCCAAGTTCCTCGACGATCTGGCGAAGGTAGTTGGGATGCCTCCCAACTGAAACCATTCCCACTCCATCGAATGATGCAATGCAAATGATCTCCATGCGTAGTTTGGCCTCCGCACTCCTCCGGGCCAATGCGTGGCAAGATCTTGGTCTCGAAGGATTGCATCATCAAGGCATCCAGTCGATCCAAATCGTCGCTTTCGCCCTCAGCGATAAAATCATCTCCGTGGCAGCTGGTACCCTTCGTCGTGGTAAAACAAACCAAGACTCCCACGAACCTCCCAGAACCCTGCCTCAGCATCGTACCTGGCGATAAGTTTTCGCCGGTTTGTCCTGCTTGTCTGTGGTCGCAGCCGCAAAAACGATCATGCGATGAATCCTCAGAGGAAGTGTTCCGCTGAACACGTCATCCCCTTCGTGGTCATTGATCTCTTGGACCACACAGCGGCTGTGCACCCCATTCAGATCATTGGGCAGTGGCTTCCAGCCATCAACCCGGTTGCTGCAGACTCTTTAGTCCCTGTCGTCGGGTCCCTTCTCAGGGGATGTCCTTCTTGACACCGTGCTTCCCACTGGCTCTGCTCATGCTCATGGAGAGTGGGCAGACCACCCATCAACTCCTGGTCGTTTCTTACCTCTTGGGTCTGGGGCGTCACGAGTGAGCCAGGTGATTGGACGCGCTTCGATCTTGGTAAGGGGCTGCAGAGACTGAGAAGTCTGAACGAAGGAGTTGTTAGACGAGCACTTCGTCAACTTCATGTCAGATTTTATCATCCGTCAGCGCGGCGTTTCCGGTCTTTGCTTGCTGCAGCAGGCGTTGAACCGCGAATCCTTGATTTGGTAGGTCAGATAACAGACACGTGTGCTATCTGTCGGGCTTGGACTCGGCCGGGACCTAAAGCCGTCATGAGCACAAACTTGCCAACCAGCTTTAACGAGGAGGTTTAAGTGGACCTCCTGTTCATGTATGATAAAGTAGTTAAGTAGTTCTTCACATGATAGATGTATGTACCCGTTTTTGCGTCGCAGTTGTTGTGGCCGACAGAGAGTCCAACACGCTGCTGACTGCCTTGCAGCGCGGTTGGTTAAGCGTATTCGGCCCACCTTCGGCCATAGCAACTGACCAAGAGGGCGGACTTGCTTCGCCCGCTGCTACTGCGTGGATGGCGCATCGGGACATACAGTTTAAGCCAAAGGCAAGATATGCTCACGCGCAGATGGTTGAACGGCATCATGCATTGCTGCGGCATCAGGTGCATTTGTTGAAGGATCAGACAATGGAAGAAGGGCTTCGTGCTTCCTTCGAGTCGTTACTGTCTGAATCCGTCTACGTGAAGAAATGCCCTGATGAGAGTGGGCAGTGCCACACCTTATGAAGCCGTCTTAGGTCGTGTGCCAAGGTTGTTTGACGTTGTGGGTACCGAAGCTGGCCCCGACATTCAAGACAGGGATGCTGATCGCTTGAGGTCTAAAGCAATCTCTTCAATGATTCAAGCGACCGCATCTTCTAAACTGGAACGTGCCTCCAAACACAAGAGTCGTGTGACCGGTAAGCTTCTCGAGCTCAGTCCTGGTGAGCAGGTGGATTACTGGGGGGTCTTTCCAGCAGTGCGGCTATGGCTTGACCTAACGCCACAGGTCCCCTCCATGGCGCTGGGCCTGGAAGGTTTGCCAACTCCAGGGACTTGCGTACCAGGCGTTCCTGGCATTGGCTGCCTCGGATACAACGCTTCAAACCTCTTGCGGCACGCTCGTCACAGCCAGGACATCCGGGTGTCTTGCGGTGCTTGATCTAAGGCTCCAGACTGACGCAGCACCGAGGCTGCTTTCGTGCTGAACAATTGTGGGTCCGCCGCGTGGCTGCCATGGTAGCCCAACCATCCCCTCAAGGTACCTTAATTCCAACCTTTCTTCCTCTGGTCGCCTCCAGATGCTTCTGCATCGACTGACTGATCACTTGGACCGTTCCCAAGAAATGCTCGTCAGAGGCAAACGCTCCAACCGACGTCCGCTTGTCGAGCTTTCCGGTCTTTTCCCGGCCCAGCTTGACGTGTGCAACTTCACAGCACTCAGCGATCTCTCCGCGGAAGTCTCGCCCGCGAAGTCGCTCGTACGGCGTCATGCCGTCTTGCTCCACAAGAAAACGCGAATAAGCCATCCCGTGTGACGTACAAGCCACGGAAAGGTATCCCCGTCGGTTTCCAAGTGCTTCTTGTAGTCATTGTAATGGCTCCCAAATGCATTAGCAAGGGTCCGCACCTGCTGCACCAACTCCAAATTCTGCTCAGCATCTGTCATCATGATGACCATTTGGCGTCCGCAAACCCAGGGCCTCAGTCACCAATCCAATGGCATACGGAGTTACACCCTTTGCCACGACTCCGGTGAAACAGCCGCACTTCTCATCCACGATCACAAGGATTGGAAGGAGACCGTCCTTTGCATCATCCTCGGGTGCCTCGTCAACAGAGTTCACGGTGCTCTTTAAGGCCCTCCCAAAAACAGTAGTCGAGAGCGGGGAACTTAAGCTCGCCTGCTGGACTTGCATGCTGAATGATCGTCTTCGCGCACCTCCCTGTATCTACAAGAACTTCGGTCTCACTGGCCTCCATCCTCTTATCCTGCTGCGGCGCGGGACTTCCCGTGGGCTTCTGCTTGGGCTTGGCTTTGGCATCGGCTTGCTTCTTTCGGCATTCGGCCTCAACGTGGCTTTTCTTCCAGCAGAACCAGCATTCCTTGTCTTTGTTCGGGTTTGGGTTGTTCGCGTTTGAGCCTTGGGGGTTCTGTTTGTTTGCATCCTGACCTTGGCCCTTACCTCGCGTTTTCTCAAAAAATTCGGTCTTGACGCCCGAAAGCGATTTGAGTCGATTTGAGTCGGCTCGAGTTCCGGATGATGTGGCTTTGCAGGCTGCTGTCCTTGAGCCCGTTCACCACGAGACCCAGCAGCATCCCCTCATCCAAGGTTTTGCCACTCTCCTGTTCATACCTGCGCAGCGCACGCTATTCTCGCCGCTAGGTCCCCCTCCACATCATCACCAAACTTGCTCGATACCAAAGTCTTGCTCGATACCAAAGTGGCAACGGTCCCCCACATAGCGAGACTCGACCCTCGGATGAAACTCTTCTGCTTAGGCTTCACTTTAGCCTTCGGTGCCGGCTTCGGCGTGGCTTTGGCCTCAGGCTGGCCGCTCACACCGACAGACACATCACGGTTCGTGCCGGTGACGGTTCGGCAAGTCCCTGTGCCATAAGAAGCGGTGCATTCCCCCTCTTAGGCTTTCGCGGCTTGCGCTGCGGATTTGCGGTGCCTGACTCCAGGAAGCAGACAACAACTGCAACGCCACCATGATTTCCCATCAGCAAAGAGAGGAGCGTGACGAGGAGCCGACCCCACCCTCGCCCAATACTCCCTGCAACAATACTTCCATTGGCTCATGCTGCTGCGCGGCCTTTCCCTCAGGGCCCTGGGTGGCTAGCCTGCCCGACGCACTGAGCAATGTAGCTGCATCGACGCTTCAGAATGGAAGCGCGCCACGCATAAACAAGACTCGCTGGAAACCCGATAAACGGCCCATCACCAGCGAACGAATCCTGGAGCAAAGGAGCCATGAAGGCCCGCAGATCCATCCTCATCAAAGTTGTCACACAGATTTGCGATGCAGGGAAGTTCCACCTGACCATGTCATCAGCAAGAGTTGCAAAGTCTTGCCGCAATGCAATCCCACTGAGAAAGCTCGACCTGGCCGTCCTAGCCCGGTCACCTTCATGCGACAAGGAGCTCAAGGGCTTCTCCACAATAGTTAAAGGCTCTCCTGTAGTTCCTGTAGTCAGCTCGACATGAGCCAAGATCAGAAGAATGAAAAGCCATTGAAGCGCATGGACTGCACCCCTCGACGAAAGGCCGAAGCCCATGGAATCCAGCAAAGCATCAGAAGAAAGTGGCAGGCCCTGGCAAACTTGCGCAGTAGGGCTCCACTCCACGGAGGCCAAGCAGGTGGCCAGGACGTAGTTTGCATGGTGTGGCGAAAGTCCCGGCTCGCCCGGAGAAATCTCTAGCCCTCGGCAAGCAAGTCTCCAAGGGGGCACTTCAAAATTACCTGGGGGTCCTCAGTGCAATGGCCATGGACAGCACGTTCCTAAAGCCACGTGCTTCTCGAGGAAACGCCCGAGAGCAGGCTATCAGGTTTATCGAAATCATGTTCGATGTGATCCCAGCACAAACACATTCGATGTGTCGTAGTCACATGTTGTAGAGTCGTGGTCACACGTTGCAGAGTTGTAGACACACGTCGTCACATTTTGCTGAGTCGTAGCCACAAGTAGTCATATATTGCTGATTAGTGGGTGTCGCATTTGGGAGCACAAGTAGCGACTATCCCGACACCTTTCAGCATTCAGGCAGGAGAGAATTTAGGAGTGTTGGTGCACCGAGGGGTGAGTATTCATACGTCTGGCCACCGAGCTCTCTCAATCTTGGATCTTAGAGCTGGAGCCTCACGACTGGCTCTTTGACAGAAAACCAGCCGAAGTACACACTTGATTTGACCCTCGAGTGACCGGAGCCAAACATGGGTTAGCGCGTATTCCTGCACTCGTAGCCTAACATCTGCACATTTTCTGTAACCTTCCTTGTTCGCCTTGCGGGTACGCACTTGGACTTCTCCAATTGTATCAGCCATTATGCTGAGCGCTTTTCGTTGGGCATCCAGCTCAGATGATAGGGATGCCCCCCTGCGTTTTTCATGCACTGTCGAAACTGCCCTTGGCCTCAGGGTTTTGCACACACACACATACACAGAGAGACACGGACTTGACTGACTGAGGGAGACCCACAAGTCCACCCGCCGCACTTGCCAACCCTTTACGTATGTCTCCCCTCGTGCCCCTTTTGCTCCGAGCTTCGCACAATGAGGTTCTTGGCCATCCCGGCCGCATCGTTCGCAGCAAAGGACAGGGCAAAGCCCTCCACTGCAGACCAGATCTTGGGCCTGAGAGCCGTTTTTTTCTTTCTTTCCGACTCAGAGAGAGTTTTTGCTCTTGGGCTCCGCTGCGGGATTCGGCCAACGATGCCGAAGTCGATGAATCCCACGCGGCCATCCTGGCCATGGTGGGGTCGGCACAGGCCCACGGAGGCTCCCCCAATCGCTGCCTCTAGCACGAGAAGGTTTCCTGCGTGGACCTGACAGGTTTGCCTAGCCGAAGAGAACCTCTTAGACAGCTTCCACGGGCGACTGCTGACCGCCTTTGCACTGAGTCCTGGGCGTCGGCATGGAAAATCTCGCAGGCCCTCACAGACAGTGACCAAACCTGCAGCTGCTCAAAGCTGAAAAGGGATGGAAATCTGTGGGCAAAACGGCAGAGCCTCTGAGTGCTACACATTTAGGGCGTTGATCAATGTCTGTTCTGGGTTGCTGCTGTACTGCCGAATGCCTGGCTCAGCGCAGATGTCGGCCTCACGCAGCCTTCCCCACTTGCAGCTTCAAGGCCTTCGAGGTCCGTGAGGGGAACACCGGAGAACAACTCCATGGTCAGAACCTCTCGAGGAGCAACTTCGGCTAGCATCAGGTGTCCCAGCGCTATCGGCCGTCTCTGTCAACTGCCAACTGCGAAGACGTACCTTCTTCCCCGACGCCTCCGGAAAGGTCCTTCTGCAATGCATCTGGGCAGCAGATAAATCCCACGAAACGCGCAAGCGAGGCGTCCTCGGTGCTGCGGCAATGCGCTCGAGGCCGTTCTGCTGCAAGAAACTCCGGAAAGTCTCGAGGTTATCCATCTCCTCGCAGTGATGCCCTGAAGCTACCTTTGTCTCCTTGCTGCGCTGTCTCCTTCGTGAAGTCCAACTCATCCAACCTGGCTGCTGACGTGAAGTGACATGCCCTCAGCCCAAGATCCACAAGGCTCGACGCCAGGCACGAGATCCGTAGCTTTGAAGTGCGGCGATGCTTTGTTGGTCTTGAGGGGGGGAGCCGGCTACTCACGAACTCCTGTCCATCTTGCGCCAATAATGCCAATAGCTCAAAGAGCGTTGGTTAGTCGTTGCCGACACAATGCCAGCCTACAGTAGACCCTTCACCGCCTTCACCTTCCAAGCTAGAGCATCCACAAGTGCAAGCCACGGCTGCTGAAGGTGCAGAAGCAGGAAGAGCGCATATGTGTCTCCCCCCCTCCCCCTGGATAATCTGTCGAGTCGAGATGCATGGAGCTGCGGATCTCTGAGAGGATGTCGACCTGAAGCTGCTGCGGAGGTCTGCGGAGGCCGAGTGCCATGCGCATGCCCTCCGCTCAGGTGCATCCTCTCCGCCGCGCCGCGCTCTTCTGGGGGCCCGGGCCACGGAGGTTCGGGCGAGCTCGGGGCTCAGAAACCTGAAAAGGCGGGGCCCCGCGCGCTGAGGCGCAGCAGAGATCCGCTTGTCGCTTCGCCCAGCAGCTCCAAAGTGCGGGCGGCGAGGAACAAGAAGCCCAGGTCGGCCTCGCGCCCCCGCGGAGGGGATGCTCTGCGCGGATGCTCTGCGCGGTGGCTCAACACACGGCCCTCGCGGCCCTCGCGCCTGCAGGACTTGCTGAACGCCGGGCTTCTGCACCTTCACGGCCACGCGCTCCCCCGTCACGAGCACCTGATCCACTCCCCTCTCTCCGCCGCTTTCGCTCTGTCCGTATACGTGGCGTCCTAAGCCCCCCGGCCGCCGCATGCACCTGGGCCACAGAAGCCTGAGAGGCCCAAGGCTGCGCTCTCCGCTGTCCACTCCACCGAGTCACAACGTGGCTTGGCGATCGCTTGGCGACGCTCGGCGAGGCCGCGACGGAGGCCAGCGGCTCCTCCACAGAGTGAACAGAACGGCGCTTGCTATTGACTCTCTTTCAGCTTCCTGAACCTGTATCTGCGCTTCCAAACTTGCATGAACAAACGACCCTCCAAAGCTCTCAAGCACTTGCAAAAACTGAGTTGGCGAAAACCGACCCCGGTCGGCTCCCTCCAAATTCGGCCTCCTTACTGCAGAAGTGCCTTGAACCTCTCGCTCGACAGATTGCAATGCCGTTTCACGCAGCCACGGCCGTTGGACTTCATCTTTTTCATCCTTCTTCAAAAAATTAAAGACATAACACTGCAAAAACTGAAACATTTTTCAATGTGTTTACACATATTTCGTCTTTTGGGTCTGTGCATTGAGTTTCACTGTCATTTTTTCCAAAAACCATCGGACATGTTACTGCTGGCCCTGACACTGGCGCTCTAACCCGAACAAATGCAGGGGGGTGAAACGAAAAAGGCGTGGCCAAGAAGCAGCGAGCCACATCCGTACTGCGGGATGATGAGTTGGTTGACAAAATTCCTTTCCAATATGCCCCAATAGGAGAAGATGGGAGCCCAATCCAAACCAAGATGCAGATGAACCCCTTTGCCAGAAAGAGCTCGAAAGTCTAAAGCTTGACGAGATCAGACAGCAGCCCAACGCGTCGCCGGAGGGGCTCCGCGGCTCCTCCTCGAAGGAGCGGAACACGGCACTCAGTGGCCGCCTCGCTCCGCTCAGACTCTCCCAGACGCAGAGAGCCCGCTCCCCTTCAACTGCCCGACGAGCTGCTGACTGCAAGTCTGCCTCCAGAGTTCGCCTCAGGCGCAAGGCAGTTTCTCCTCTGCACTGCTCTGCTTTGCTGCACTCTCCGCCCAAGCACCTGATTTCTGCGAAGCTCGTGGGCTCGGTGCGGTCCAGGCATCGCCTCAGCTCACAGCGCGGAGCTCAAAGTTCACGGCAGCCCCCGGCAAGCCCCAGCGGCCCAACCTACCTCTCAAAGTATAGAGTTTTTAGTGTTGGCACGCTGTTGCTGCATCTCTCTCCTTCTTTTTCTTTTCGAAAATCCAGATCGGAGAGCTTGCGTGGACCTTGAGATTCTGAGAAGCGCCGGGACCTCTCGAGCGACCGACGATGTACAGTGTGCGAGACATGCATACATTATACCTCATACGAGATATCCCTCTCAACACTTGACAATGCTTCCGTTGGCTTCCCTGACTTCAAAAACATCCTCCATCGACTGGCTGTATTTCCAATCTGTGTTTGATTAGAAACATGCCTGCAACCCCAAACCAATTTCATTTAAATTCCAGGCTTTTTGTTCATCATCTGTCTGGAGGACTCGCAATCAAGGCTCCCTTGCGCATGTGTGGCAGATCGCAAAGGATGGCCGCTCCAAGTCGTAGCAAGACGTGCTGCCGCTACCAGGATCTGCAACTTGAGGGCCGGAGGCATAGAGAACGAGAGCTCGGCGGACTTTATATCCGATAGATGTCGGCCCGACAGGGCAGCGGGCTTTGATCCGCGGGAGTGCAGTACTAGTAATCGTCGTAGCAGCAGCATTAGCAGTAGCTCGCGGTAGCAGTAGCTGCAGCAGTCGCAGTAGCAGCAGCAGCAGCAGCAACAGCAGCAGTAGTGGCAGTAGTAGCAGTAGCAGTAGCAGTAGTAGCAGTAGTAGTAGTAGTAGCAGCAGTAGTAGAAGCAGTAGTAGTAGCAGCAGCAGCAGCAGGAGTAGTAGTAGTAGTAGTAGTAGGAGTAGTAGTAGTAGTAGTAGTAGTACGCGCAAAATGGGACGTTTGCCCGCGCACCTGCTCTGCGGAGCCGGGCGGGGTTAGCTGGCAGGCGCGTACAATTCGGCACATGGTCGCAGGACCGCTCTGGAGGCTCCGATTACGCGCACAAGCAACTCGCGTCCGAAAATGACAACTGTCTCGAGGATTCTGCGTGTGAGCTGTTTTGCATTTTTGCCTGTTCTTGTGGCGCGTGAGCAACTCGCCCCTGAAAATGACAACTGTCTCGAGGATTCTGCGTGCGCGCTGATTGTGGGTGGGTGCGAAACACTAAACCCTAAAAGGAGTGGGTGGGTGCGAAACCCTGAGTGGGTGGGTGCGAAGAAACCCTGAACCCTAAACGGAGTGAGCGGGTGCGAGACCCTGAACCCTAAAAGGAGGGGGTGGGTGCGAAGCCTTGAAGAACCCTATAACATACCAACAAACCAAAAAACCGACCTTAAACCCTAAACCCTACCAAAGCCCTTGAGACGTCTTGAACCAAAAAGGGCTACGGGAAATCAGCGATGTCCACAGCATCTTGACAGCAAGCTCCGAACTGTTGCGAAATCCCGTTACCAAACAACACTTTCCAACAATCTTGGCAGCAAGGTCCTCGGTCCAAACATTAATTTTGTTGAAAAAGTACTGCCTCGTGCTTGTCTTCTCTGCAAAAGTCCATGTGCAAAGCTAGATCCAAGGTCAAAGGAGCCAGCGGTCAAACTCCGGAATGGGAGAAAGCAGTTTGCTTACCTGCACGGCTGTCACCTGCGGAGGCGGCGAAGGTTCCTGATCTGTCCTGGCAGTAGTTGTAGACACTCGCGGCGGTGGAGAAAGTTCCTGATCTGCCGTGGGCGTAGCTGTAGACACCTGCGGCGGCGGTGGCCAAGGTTTCTGATCTGCACTAGCAATCGTTGTAGATGCTCGTGGTGGTGAAGAAAGTCCGGCTCTGATGTGGCATCGAACTGCCAACGAGTTGCGCTTGAGGTACACCGGCGCGCGCACTCCGGCCTCTTCATTCACAAGGAACAGCTGGTCACGGAGATGCATTATGCTGAGTCGTGCCCTGACGAGCTTCCCCAAGACAGACTGTGATGGAATGCAGCTGCCGGGAACACCGCTCAAGCCACACCCCCCCGGCAGGACCTTGCCAGGTTCGTCCCATGCTCCGGACCTCCAAGATGCATCAACCGTCTGTGCACGGCGGCGCAGGCGGTCCAAACCCCGCGCTGCAAAGCTGAAGATTTCACGGACTTCTACGCCATTTGTTCGCCTCGAGGCATACCACGTGCAACATAAGCTACGCACCGAGAGACATCCGAACAGCTAGGATTCCCCTGAAGTCACTACTGCCACTGGACGAGTAGCCAAAACTACAGAAGCAAAGGCTAGAGATTCCAGCCCGATGAGCGCACGGGCTGTCCAAGCACAAAAGTGTCGGAACATGCACTGAGCATTGCAAAGTAATGGGTATTGTCAGATCCTGTTCATGGCTTGGGCCATTGAGCTCCAGCATAGCTCAGCATGGCTCAGCACGGGCAGCACAACAAGCAGCAAATGCCTTCGTCCAGGGTCGGGCCGGGGAAAAGGCTTACACGGTTTAACGAACCCATGCTTAAACACAAAATGTTTTAACATCTTCACCGTGAACCTGCTCAGTGTTTAAAGGGTTTAAACCGTGTACATGTTTAAACGGTTTATACTGTTTAGAGTTTAGAACACGAGGGCCAAAAGAAACCATACGTTTAAACTGTTTTGAACCGTTTAAACGCTTAAACTTGGACCATGGGCTCCGTTTAAACGTTTAAGCGGTTTAAACCGCTTCAGCCACGAGGACCAAGAATCTCCCAGGGCCTCCCAGCGCCATCATTGGGTGTGTCCTGCAAGCACATTGCAATATGTGATGGATAGTGGTACATTTAAACCGTTTAAACCACGAGGACCTTGAGACCCTCCCGGGCCTCCCAGGGCCTTCACCCCCGATTGTGTTGCCAATCTGTCGTCTTGGGGGTTCAAATGCTTATTCGTCCTGGCAAATATTGGCCGGCTCACGATATAATTCAGAATAGTAAGATGCTCACAGGCGGTAAACCAGGCTTCCTTGCACGTGGAACCCAGACTGCGACGCAAACAACATTTAAGGTAAGCCACTGAAACCTCTTCGCAAAAAGCCTTGAACCCCAAAAACCCAAAAGCGCCCCATATACCCCATTAACTCGAAATACCCCCATATACTCCGATGTAAATTTTAAGTTAGGGTTTCAAGACGGTGGATGTTGCAGCGGCCGTTATGCTCGAAATGTTTATACCCGTGCTACCCAGAAAATGTGTAAAAGGTTTAAACAATTCCCAGCAGGAAATGGTTTAAACATCGTTTAAACGATATCTCAGCAGGAAATGTTTGAACGGTTTAAACCCACCAAAATGTTTACACGTTTAAACCTACATGGTGTTTGGAGCGACCGTGCTTGCGTCTTCCTCACAGTCATGGCAAGCCCCCGGCAGCACCGCTGACATGTCTTGCTGTCTCGGAGCTGCTGCCGCCGACCAAGAGGAAACGCTTGCGACCTCACCGGGCTGCTTTGCACGTCAAATGTGATCCCAGAAAAGAGGGCTGCAGAATAACCGAGCCGATGGCTGCTGCTGCTTCCGCTAACTTTCTGAGGGAATCGGTGGAGGCTGTTGACGACGCTGCAGCCTTGCCTGCAGCAGAAGCTGTAGCAGCGGTGGCAACGGTGTCCAAACCATTGGCTTGAGATGCCTGCGCAACTGCCTCAGCCATTTTAGTGCCCCGTGCCTCTTGCGGAGCCTGGACAATGTCCAGCGTGGTCGTGCATGCAGCTTGTGGGTCGATGTATTGGCACGGGTGGGCAGACAGAAGTTCTGTTCCACACTGAGAACTTCTCGTTGCTTGTCCGATTGCTTCGCCCTCCAAGTTCCGTCGCAACAGCACGCAGAACAGGTCTGGCATGCTCGTCTGGTCGAGTTTGGGGTAGCTCATGACTTCCATACTTTTTGCGGCTCCACAAAGCACTGGCTTCGTCCCCACATCTATTCGGCGTGGAAAAGGCAATCAAGTTCGGAAGGAGCTTCGAAAGATGATTGAATATTGCATGGGTGCAAAATGACTTCAGAATTACGATGCATTGCTTGACTTGCCGAAGAAGTTAATGCTGCTTGACCAAAGTCGAAATCGCAAACAACAACTTCACCATACAGATGTCATTAGTCATGCGAAAGAAAACGAGAGCACGGTCGCGGAATACCGATTCGAAAGAATGCTCATGGACTACCCGAAGGTTGCTTTCACTAAGAAGCTCGCCGAGGACAACGGTTGACGACGCTGGAATCCCAAGTGCTTGCCCTCACATATGAGGACTCACCGTGCCTGACAACCCATATCACAATCGATTTATCCATCGTCGTGCACAACGGACCAGGCGTGACCCTCCATCGAGCAGAGGGCGCAGCAATCACAGGAGCGATTTCAAACAAAAAAGCAAGCAGCAAACGAACAGCTACCGCAACAAAAGCACAGCCAACCCAACCTTCTTCTTGTTCTTCAGCTTTGAACGTCCTTGCAAGAACAACAGGCTTATGCATGCTATCTCCAATACTTCGCTTGTGAAAGAATCGCTGCTTGGGCACGTGGCACCACCTGCATTCATGCCGCCGCAAAACCAAAGCAACGGTCACTCCCAATTCACGACTTCACATCCTCATCCAGAAAAACCGCTGACGCTGATAGCGTCGGCCAATGTTCGCGTGATCCTCAAGGCGAGGTGAAACTTGCGACCCCACATGCAAAGGAAAGGCTTGGCAGCACACCTCCGACGTCAGAGTTCTGACCACTGGGCACCACCTGAACACAAGCCGTGCCAAAACACAAGCAACCGCCACGCCCAAGTCTCGACTTCATAATAAATACCGAAGAACGCATCGTGGACGGCAAATTGTGCGTTGATCCTCAACGCCAGGCACAACACCTGCTATGCCCTGCTTGCAAAGGAACTTGCTGCTGCGGCGGCGCATCCGGTATCGTTGTTTC